TTATTTTATTTTTTTGTTTTTCTATGAGGTTGCAAAGCTCCAGTATTTCTCTGTACACAGCAGGGTCCAATAGCAGTGCTGAAAATCAAGGAGCTGTGATGCCATGCCACCGGCATCCATAGCTCCCAGGGTTGCCAAGTGATCCTCGTCTTTTCGGGTTTCCGCCAGCACTCCTGGCTCCTCCCCCTCAAGCAATGCCTCCAGGGAAAGCTGCTCGTCCTGGGGGCACCGCTGTGTGTTCGTCCCGGAGCCACTGCTCTATGAGTCCATAAGACACAGAGCCATGGCTCGGCCTTGCCCCATCCCCCCCCACTCTCTCCTCATTGGCTCACTTGCTGTGATTGACACCAACAGAAGCCAATGGGCTCCTGCTGCTGTCTCAGCCAATGAGAAGGAAGAGACCTCAGACAGCAGAGGCTGCCGAGAACGTCGCTGGATCGGAGGGAGCTCATGTAAGGATTGGGATGGCCACACACAGAAGGTTTTTTACCTTTATGCATAGAATACATGAAGGCAAAAAACCTTCAGCCTTTAGAACCACTTTAACATATATATAAACCCTCACCTTGTAAAACAACCCATTCAGTTTAAAGTAGAAATGAAAGGCAAAACATTTCTGTATACAGGGTGGATAAAAATCAATGATTTAAAAAAAAAAAAAAAAAAAAAAAAAAAAAAAAAAATCAGATTTTTTTTATTTAAAACGGATTTTTTTGAATAAAAATGCTTTTTTGAGGAAAATATATTACCATCCAAAGGTTATTCCATCATGAAATAAAGATTAGTTTTTTAATTATGTAGAATAAGGCTGTATATGTTTAATTTTTTTGGTAAATAAATTCCATTAATCCATTCACAATGTCATGCTCTTCCAGAGGTTTTTGTAGGATTAGGAAGTCTCCAAGATCCTCTCTGATGCCCGCCTCACCACCTGCCCCCTCGACCCTATCCCCTCACAACTCCTACGACCTTCCTCCTCCTCCATCCTACGCTCCCTCACCCACATCTTCAATCTCTCCCTCTCCTCAGGCACTTTCCCCTCCCCTCTGAAACATGCACACATCACCCCCATACTTAAAAAGCCCTCCCTGGACCCCAATGACCAGAACAACCTCAGACCCATCTCCCTGCTCCCATTTACATCTAAACTCCTCGAGCGCCTAGTCTACACCCGCCTATGCTCTCACCTCAACGACAACAACCTCCTCGATCCCCTACAGTCCGGCTTCCGTCCCCTACACTCCACCGAAACCGCCTTACTCAAACTCTCCAACGACCTGCTAACCGCCAAAGCTAATGGCCACTATTCAGTGCTCCTACTCCTTGACCTCTCTGCGGCCTTCGACACAGTCGACCACCCCCTCCTCCTCAAAAAACTACACTCCCTCGGCCTCAGAGACTCTGCTCTCTCCTGGCTCTCATCCTACCTGTCACAACGCTCCTTCAGCGTTACCTATAATGCTACCACCTCCCCCTCTCTCCCCCCTCTCTGTTGGGGTCCCTCAAGGCTCTGTCCTCGGGCCCCTTCTCTTCTCCATCTATACCTCCTCCCTTGGCCAACTCATACACTCTCACGGCTTCAACTACCACCTCTATGCCGACGACACACAAATCTATCTCTCAACCCCCCACCTCACCCCCTTGGTCTCAGCCCGAATCACACACCTACTGAGCGACATATTAGACTGGATGTCGCTCCACTTCCTTAAACTGAACCTCTCCAAAACCGAGTTTGTCTTGTCTTCCCCCCCAGCCCGGACACCACCCCCCATTGATTTCTCCGTCACATCCAACAACGCTACCATCAAACCCGCCCTGCAGGCCAGAGTACTGGGTGTCATTCTGGACTCCAACCTATCCTTCCAGCCCCAAGTCCAATCTTTAACAAACTCGTGCAGACTCCACCTCCGCAACATCGCCAAAATCCGCACGTTCCTAACCCCAGAAAACCACTAAACAGCTCATCCACTCTCTCATCATATCCCGACTCGACTACTGCAACTCCCTCCTCACTGGCCTGCCTCGCCGCTGGCTATCCCCGCTTCAGTCCATCCTGAATACGGCTGCCAGACTCATTCACCTTTCTAACCGCTCTGTCTCCGCCACCCCCCTCTGCCAATCCCTCCACTGGCTTCCGATTGCGCAACGGATCAAATTCAAAATCCTAACGCTGACGTACAAAGCTGTCCACCATACTGCCCCGAACTACATCACTGACCTAATATCCAAGTACCACCCAGCACGCACACTCCGCTCCTCACAAGACCTCCTTCTCTCTAGTTCCCTGGTCTCCTCCTCCCATGCCCGCCTCCAGGACTTCTCCAGGGTGTCACCCATCCTCTGGAACTCCCTGCCCAACCCATCAGATTATCACCTACTCTTCTCACCCTGAAAACCTATCTCTTCAGGGAAGCCTACCCCACCCCCTGCTAACTTGCCGACCTCCTCCTCCACTCTTCCTACCACCCCATCCCCCACAGCTATCTCCTCCTGTGCCACCACCCCCCTCCCTCCTAGATTGTAAGCTCGAAAGAGCAGGGCCCTCGAACCCCTCGTGTATCACATTGTATTGGTATTGTTCTGTCACATGTTCTGTCCCCCTTTGTAATGTACAGCGCTGAGCGAACTATTGGCACTTTATAAATACTGTATAATAATAATAATAATAATAGGATTATTGGGCAGTTTCTCTGCCTACAAGATATTATCACAGATGTTTGGTTTACTTTTGCAGTTCTCAAAACTGAATTTGACTCAGCGGAGATCACATGCCTCTTCTTCACAGCAAAAATATTATACATGACAGAGTTAAGAAAAAGACCTTAATCCTAACTTCTACAAACCTATGAATACAGAATCAACCCCTTCAGTGCTAAGTTTCAAGAAGTTCAGTGAATAGAATAGAAACAATATTTTTCTGATTGTTTGTTGTGGAATAGATCTGCAGAAGAAGAAAGTGAAACTAAGTGTGAGGAGGAAGGGGCTGACAGTCTAAGTTTCTTAAAATATATATATTTTGTTTCGCCAAATTAGTTAACAAACATGGATGTTTGTTTCAGCAAATACCATATGCTGGAATATTATTGTTTCAGTTGAATAAATCTATTTAAATTGTTATTATTAAGGTAATGATTATTGTTCTCCTTCCTAAGTACAACAGAAAAGTTGTCCAAATATGAATGATTAACCTATTAAACTGGGGATAAAAAAAACTAATATGAAAAGTTGTTATTCTAAAAATCTTCATCTACTTGCATATTAAATTTATACCAGCAAGAATTAGTCTTTATGTAGAAAACTAGGATTTAAATCAAGGCTTACTGACTAGTGATTTAAATCGTGATTTAAATCGTGATTTAAATCAAATCCACCCTGTCTGTATACATATAAAAAAAACCATTATAAATACCTTTTTGCCCCCCTTTTTATAAGTGATCACATACCCTCAGTTCTCAGCTGCAAGGAGATAAGGGAGGATAAACAGCAGGACACTGATCTTCTTACATGGCACCCTCTGCACAGCCATTCACTGGGAGGAAGTCTGACCATTGGAGAACAGGCTGAGTTCCCAGCACAGTTAGAGAACTGACCACGTTGTGCTCTCCTGTCTAGTGTGGTCAGTTTTTTGAAGGTTTTTTTTTAATTTTTAATCAAGAAAATGTCTATTGAGATGTCACCAAATTTTACAATCGAACAGTAAGGTTACATAGAAGGCAGTCAAGATAGTTTACAAGCATAACATAGCTGAGTTTGAATACACCAGAACTGTATTGCATACACTTGCGTGTCATGTTAAGAATCTGTTTTTGTGTGGACAATAGAGCCCACAAGTTGGAGAGGGGCAAGTTAAAATACCTCATACAACGCATCTCCATTTGTCACAGCTGAACCTTCCTACATGTAGTATACAATACTGTGGTCAGTTTTTAATAGGAAAGCAGGGGGACCGGCAGGAACATCAGGGATTTCACACAAAGGAAACAATACAAAGACAATAGATATTTTTCATACAAGCACATGGTACAGCAGGCACAGATCAGGAATATGAAATGTTGAGTTTACATATTCTTTAAGATGGACATTCACTCAGAGGTGTATATTGCAGTATAGTAACTGGCATACCAAGAGTACGGGCCATCATGGCCACTATGTGCAGCTGAGTTCAGGGGGATGGCTAGGAATTTTTTTGTGAAAAGGTAAACTTACCCTTCAAAGTAGAACTGAAGGAAAAACATGGGTTTTTTTTTTTTTTAGCTTTGGATAGAGTGGAGAGAGATTAGAACACCTGTCAATTTTTTTTTTGTATTGCTGTGTCCCTGCACCCCTTCTATTTGACCCGGTGACCAATATGAAATGGTGACTGTGAAAGAAATTCCCAGATTCTATGTGGTCACCAGTACAGGAATAGAAGGAAAATCTTCCAATGGGGAGACTCACTTTGGAGGAATTTCTTCTCACTTCCTGTTGTGGTTCCAGGACAGGAAACAAATAGAAACCTCCCCAATGGGATGACAAAATTAAAAAACCTGAAAGGGGTTAAAACCCTTCCTTACTCTATCCAAAATTAAACAATGAAAAAAAAAAAAGAAGATGTTTAACTTCAGCTCTACTTTAATGGGAATGTATAATAAATAAGCTCAATAAGGCCCCATTTACACTTGCATGATACTATTGTGCTGCATTTTTGCAGCGTATCTTTGCATTTTTTTGTGTGTTTTTAGAACAGCGCCATTCACTTGAATGGTCCTCCTTCCTCTCCAAAAACACTAACAAAGCTCGAGTAATAAATTTTGGCCATGAGTCAAGTGCATTTTGTCGAGCAGGAAAACGTGCGCCTACTCACATCTGGGGTGCCAGTAAGAAATAATGGCACCGCAAATGCATTGCGCATTTTAGCACAGTCTGTGTTTGAAGAAGCACTTGTGCTCCTGTTTCCACTACACGGAAGTGTGAATGAAGCCTTTATCTTTTGTAAATAGAAAAGACAGAGAAGTATATACCTCTTTGTACTGGTTGTGTCTGCTTTAACTTCAGCTTTTTTATTCAGCTCAGACAGGGAAGTGGAAAGATACAGCTCTTTGGGAAGCGTTGACACGGTAGGCATCCTGGACTGGGAGTTTCTGCTCTTCACATCAACAAAGACTGGATTGTCCCGTCATCCTAGTCATCATTTATGCCTGTCAAACAGTAATGTTACACAGTAAGGTACAAGGAAAAACTGATATGAATGACATTATGATGTGTTAGTCACCTGTTACAAAAAACACTCTGAGGGTAATGCAACTCTAAAAATTCTACTGAAATAATTGGTCAGCCTTGGAGAAGGAATCCAACACATTACTGTGCAGCGCTAAAGTGCACTAAACATGAGCAAATATTTATGTATGATAAAGGAATGAGCCTAACATCTATTATAATAACAGGTCACATACTGTTCCTAATCACCTTTTCTGATCAAAGGAGAAGTTTGTGATATATGTATAAAAAAAAAAAAAAACATGCATACTTACCGCTATACTGCAGCTGTCCCACGTTAGCCCTAAGACCAAGAACTGATGAGATCACATGATCGCTGACTGCTCCGTTCTCAGACAGCACAGAGAGTGGTGACTGTCAGTCGTTGCTCTCTGCTCTTCTCAACCAGTACTCACTGTAGCATCAGGCTGGGGAGGGGGGGTGGGCGCTAGATTTGGCTGTCGGCTGTGCGCTGAGAGCTGGAGCCAGCTGTCAAGTCAGGCACTTGGGTGGATTCTAACAACATAGTCATGATCCTTCCAGAGCCTGGCGTGGCTCTGCCATGTCAGCTGACAGTGGGCTATAGCCTGCTCCCAGGTGACTGTTTCACAGAAGAGCAAAAGTAAGTGCACTCCTGTGACCTGCAAGAGAAGTACAACCAAAAAATGCTTTGGCCATACTTCTAAGAAAAAAATGAAATGGGAAACACACACACACACACACTAAATTAAGAATGGCATTAGGAATAGAAGTATTAGTTATTTTTAACAAAACGGAAAGAAAATGAATGGAAGAGAAATCCAAATCAACTGAATATTTGGTGTGACCACCCTTTGCCTTCAAGAGTATCACTTCTCCTAGGTACACTTGCACACAGTTTTTGAAGGAACTGGACAGGTAGGTTGTTCCAAACATCTTGGAGAACTAACCACAGATCTTCTGTGGATGTAGGCTGCCTCAAATCCTTCTGTCTCTTCATGTAATCCCAGATTCCATGATGTTCAGATCAGGGATCTGTGGGGGCCAAACCATCACTTCCAGGACTCCTTGTTCTTCTTTAGACTGAAGATGATTCTTAATGACATCATGTCTGGGGCCGTTGTCCTGCCGCAGAATAAATTTGGGGCCGATCACGTGTCTCCCTGATGGTATGGCATGATGGATAAGTATCTACCTGTACTTCTCAGCATTGAGGACAACACTGATCCTGACCAAATCTCCAACTCCATTTGCAGAAATACATCCCCAAACTTGCAAGGAACCTCCACCAAGCTCCACTGTTACCTGCAGACACTCATTATTGTACCATTCTCCTGCCATTCGGGGAACAAACTGCCTTCTGCTATAGCCAAATAATTCAAATTTTGACTCATCAGTCCAGAGCACCTGCTGCCATTTTTCTGCTCCCCAGCTCCTATGTTTTCATGCATAGCTAAGTCACTTAGCCTTGTTTCCACTTTGGAGGTATGACTTTTTGGCTGCAGTTCTTCCATGAAGACCACTTCTGGCCAGACTTCTCTGGACAGTAGATGGGTATACCAGGAGCCCACTGGTTTCCGCCAGTTCTGTGCTGAAGACACTGCTGGATATCTTCCCACGTGGAAGGGAAGTAAGCATGAGGTGTCTTTCATCTGCTGCATTCTTCTACAGTCCTCAACCTTGCCTACTTCTTTGTATTTCTTCAAAAGAGCATACTGAATTGAATTGATGCTGGTCTGAAGCCAAAGGGTAGTCAAACCAATGATTGATTAGATTTTCCTTCTGTTCACTAGCATTGCATTTTGCAAATTGAGACAAACAATTAAAATAAGGTAAAGGTTTTGAAAGCATTCTTACTTCACAGCATTTCTTCACACCTGCCTATAACCTCTGCACAGTAATGCATACATATGCAAATGTGGCGGTGGGGGGGGGGGATTAACATTACATACAGTAGTAAAGAAGTGCGAAGGGCAGCTTCAGCTGAAACCGCTTGTTTATAGGCAAACTACTTTAAACAACTGAGCAAAGATGTGTGAAAAAACAGATTTAAAACCCATCTGTTTAAAAAAAACAGCAGAAGATAAAGAGCTGGTCATACACAAGCAGAGTGTTGATTTGAAAGTACTCCAAAATTGTTTTGCTTTTAACATTTTAATTATGTAATTTACTAAACAAAAACCACATTCATATTTAGAAATTTGTTTGAGAAACATTTCCCATCAAATTTTCCCGTCTGTAGTTGAAAAAATAAAAAGGTCAATTTGGGCAGCACAGTGGCTAAATGGTTAGCACTTCCACCTGGCAGTACTCGGGTCGTTGGTTCAAATCCCAGCCACGGCACCTCCTGTCTGGAGTTTGCATGTTCTCCCTGTGCCTGCGTGGGTTTCCTCCAGGTACTCCGGTTTCCTCCCACACTCCAAAGACATGCTGGTAGGTAAATTGGATCTTGTCTAAAATTGGCCCTTGTATATGAATGTAAGCTAGGGACCGTAGATGGTACGCCCTTGAGGGTTAGGGACTGATGTGAATGTACAATATATATGTAAAGTGCTGCGTAAATTGACGATGCTATATAAGTACCTGAAATAAATAAATAAATTTGACACCATTAACAGTTAAAAAAAAATGTTTTAAAACAAAATTCTTCTAATGTTACACCAGGAAGAAAACATCACCGTGTCTAGAAATGGCTGATTTTTGGGAATGGAGAAATGTTGTGTTTTTGTCCCTGTTATGTTGTGCACTGTTTTGCGAATTTTGGCTTCTCACCAGGACTAGGGTCACATAAAAGCTTTTCATGCCTTCCATTTTTGTGATCCAGCTGAGAACACCAAGAAAGATAAAAAACCCAACACTGCAAGTCTAGGAAGAAGCAGCATTTCACACCGACACCCACACTGACATAATGCAGCAATTTCTTCAGCTCAGTGAGAACTTTCACACTCAATTTTCAATGGAAGAAAATAAACTAAATGGTGTTGCAACCTGAAATTACCAGGAATGGGATAACTTTAAACACTTACAGTACTTTGAGCAAGTTTGACTAAGGCCCCATGTACACGGGACACTTTTGAATGATGGAAACTGACTGCTGGAAAACGTAGGTTACAAAATGTCTGTTTAGCCGTGTTTGCATAACGTGTTTATGCGCGTTTATGTGCGTTTGCGCTTTGAAGCGTTTTTTTAAAGATAAGAACAGGAGAACCTCCCAAATGCCCAGAATGCACTGAAAAGTGGTAAATTATTAACTATTTAAGACTGTTTCAGAGAAATACAGAGAGTAGAAGCAGAGACAGCAGTATGTGTTGACATTAGCTTAGGTGTGAGTTGCTCATTCACATTTTTTTTTGTTTCCAAGGGTGGGATAGGTGTCTGGTGAAGGGAGTCATTAAGGCCACCTGGAAGGGGGTCTTCATGAGGAATTTGAGGTGTAAATGGTCATTGACATATCTTTTGTTTCCAAGGGTGGGAGAGGTCTGAGGTGTGAATTGGTCATTACAATGTGTGACAAGCTTGGTAGGAACATCCTGTGTTCAGTGTTTTGTCCATCTGAGTACCTGAAAAGGCTTTGCATGCATTTTTTCATGATGAAAAATGGCTCTGTACAGCATTGGGAACTGGAAGAGTTAAACATTTTAAAACGCAAAACGCTTCTAAACGCAGTAAATCACGTTTATTGGTGTTTGCGTTAGAAAAAAACGACTGTACACTCAAATGCCTGTAAACGAAGATATGTACATGGACACATAGGAAAACATTAGGGAGAGTTCAGGGGCTGCTGAAAAAAATGCTGAACAGCTCCTAAACGTGAGTTTATCAGCTGCAGTGTACATGAGCCCTTACTGTTGTGGCCATGTATGCTATGAAAAAAAAAATACAAAATTTGTTCTGAGTAGCGGAGGCGTCGGAGTAAGGAACACTTAATTAAAGCAATATTAAATCCTTAGCAAACATTTATTATAGTGCAGCTTATCAGTTCTTAGATGTGATGTCTGGATTAGATTTCATTTCTAGGATTTCTTTCCTTTACTTTAATCTGGCAATCCAGCCAGTAAGTCTGATGTTTTACGAAAAAACAAGCTTTCTTGTAGATGTAACAGTTACAGGGTTCAGACAAACCATTTAACCATGACAGGGGTGTTTATAATGAACAGCTTTTACATATTTATGAAAACTAAATTATCCCAAAAGGAGAAAAAACTGTTTCTGTAACAGATTATGAAGTTTTAGTTGGAATTTGGCTTCAGTTTGTTAGTGTATCTAAATCTGCTAGTCCATCTAACACACCCCCCCCCCCCCTCTTTCCCCCAGACTGACAATGCTGCTGTACAAAAGGTGCTCCATTCTGGGAAAAGAGGTACTGGATAAAATGACTGAGACATAGCTCAGCCTATAGAGGACATAGCTTCACCAAGATGAATATAGCCTTTAATGACCCAGCAGTATCTGACATCTCTGTGAGACTGATGACAACATCTCAGCTGGCATTCCCTGGTCTGCACATCAGGCTATGGGCTTTACAAGGAGCATATGGGCCATCTTATGGATCCAGAATATGTTCCATGATACAGGAAATGCTACAGTTCCAAAAACATACAAGGCTAGCGGGCGAGTCAGCTCTCGAGACTCCATTTATAGGCAGCCTAGATTATATCTGGTTTATAAAACGTGAGCTGCCTTTGGCTTTTAAAGTCAAATTAAAGCAGTTCTGAAGGCTCAAGGTTTTTATCTGCATGCATTCTATATATGAAGGTAAAAAACCTTCTCAGTGCAGCAGCCCCCCTAATACTCACTTAAGCCCCCTCTTGATCCAGCGATGTGCACTGGAGTCTAATCTATCCCATGACTCCCTCTTCTCATTGGCTGAGGCAGAAGCCATTGGCTCCC